TTTATTATTATTATAAATAATTATTTTTTTTTAAAGTATTATTATTATAAATCTGTTCCAAGGAAGGAGCTGCCATCCCCAGAGCAGACTGCACTCTTGGGTTGCTGTACCCCATGACTACGGCGCACAAGCCATCACCGATTGCCTTGGGCAGGTGAAGAGCCTGGACATCAGCACGGAGCAGCTGAAATGCAGGGATGTGTTATGATCCCAGAGGAACTCACACCTTCAAATTGCACTTTTCTAACACAAAAACCGATTAAAAATTTGCCTTGGATTGGGGTGAATGAGGTAGTAACACGGACACCAACACTCAGGAGCTCAGAGAGACAAGTTCAGTGAAACAAACGGCAGAATACTGGAAAAAGCTTTTCTAAGTAACAATTCAAACACCCTGACATCTTGATAAGCCGAGTAGAGGGGAAAAAATAAGTTTAAGCCTTTAATATCTGGGACACACACATCCCACTAAGCATTCCTTTGGCCTGGCAGTCTGCAAATGCCAGTTTTGAAGGGGTTAAGGCCTAAATACAATTTGTTTCTCTATTTTTTTGGTTGTTTGGTTTGTTTTGGAGGTCATTCTGCACACCTTAATTTTATTCCCACCGATTTTCCTCCCCTTGGTCTCTTTTACAGCTGCTTGTGCATATTCAATCTCATTGTAGAGAACCAGGGCCATGCCTTTTAAGCGGTCAAACACCACCTGTAAAAAACAAAAAAACAAAACAAAAACCAAATAAGAGCCTCATCCACAGGACTTTTAATGTCAGTCCCAACAAAATCCTACAGTCAGGAGGATAACCAGTAAGAAAATTATTTTTAGCAAGGTAAATTTCCAGGCTTTTCTGATGAGGCTTATTGTAATGAAGAGACAATAAAAGGACACGGGACTGCTTTGAATTGTGGATATTGTGGCTTGAGGTATATTATGCCTTTATTTTGTTTTTCTGTATTTTACTTTTAATTTTTTATTTTTTTTTTTTCTTTGGTGACTTGAGTTTTGGAGTTTCTCTTTGTTTACTTTTAGGTTTGTTTTTTTTTTTAAAAAAAAAAAATTGCCAATGTGTTTTAGGGGGGAAAAAAGGTAAAGGGAACATTTAATCCCAAAATGGAACCAGTTTTTGTTAATCACAGTCAGCAGTACCACTCGTCAGTTGCTAAATGCCCAATTTCCAAATATCAGCTTCTTTTAGCAACATCAACTTATTATTCAAGCAACAACAGCTACAATAAAGAATGGCAAAGCTGCAACACAAACCCACAAAAAATCCTTTAAGGAGGCAAGACCCTGATCCTGCAAAGATTTGCACGTCTTGCTTAACTTTAAGCACATCAATATCCAACAGAAATACATGGGGCAACTCACAGGCTTAAGTTTAAGCACGTGCGTAAATCTCTAGCACAGACCCACAGCGGGGCAGGGAACACGCTCCCGCTGTGGGATAAGGGTATGTGGCACCATCATTGGCTTTCTCTCTTTTTTCACATATTTTTTGTCAGTGTGACTATCCTAAATGCTTTTAAAAAGTCTTTTTTTTTTTTTGGTCTGATGAAAAAAAAATAAGAATTAGTTACGTCTAATTATGTAATTAGCATGCACGAGTGTAACTATGTAATTAAACTGGTGCTCCTCCAATGTTAGCCTTGATTGTTGGGGAGAGACTGTACTGCACAAGAGCAACAAATATGTTTCCAATACTCATTATCTCGGCTCATTCAAAATAGATTTGGGGGGTTTTTTTATGTTTTCAAAACACCAGAAGCGACTGCTCTACATCTCAAATCAAGAGGATGCAAAACTACAGAGCCCTGTCAGTCAAATTATACCCCCAGAGAGAATTTTTCTACCTGAGTTATAAAGCCCTGGACAGTTGGGGTTGAAAGGACAGGATGGGAAGAAAAGAAGACAGTAAACAACTTCAAACCACACGTCAAAGCTTCTCACCTACCTTTACCACAGGCCCGTATCGGCAGAAATGTCGAGTTAAATACTGATCCGTAACGTTTGTAGAAAGCCCATCTAACCACACGCAGTTTGTAGGCATGCTCTTTCCAAAACCCAGCTGGACACAAAAGGGTAAAACTTCCATCAGTTATTAATTCACAAGAGTTAAACTAAATGAACAGAGCAGGGCTAATTAAAGAGTTATTTGAAGAAAGTTTGTCATTACGATGGATTTTTCTAAAATTAGCATCTTGCGCAGGTGCAAGTATGGCAAAAAAAAAATATAATCAAATAGCAATTAATAAGATCTCCAGGGAGATCTTCTAGCAGCTTTCCAGTACCTGAAGGGGCTACAAGAAAGCTGGGGAAGGACTTTTCATAAGGGCAGTTAATGACAAAACAAGGGGAAATGGCTTTAAGCTGAAAGAGGGGAGGTTTAGATGAGATATTAGGAAGAAGTTCTTCACTGTGAGGGTGGTCAGACACTGGAACAGGTTGGCCAGAGAAGCTGTGGCTGCTCCTCCCTGGAAGTGTTCTCGGCCAGGGTGGATGAGGCTTTGAGCAACCTGGTCTAGTGGAAGGTGTCCCTGCTGCTGGCAGGGGGGTTGGAACTGGATGAGCTTTAAGGTCCCTTCCAACCCAAACCATTCTATGATTCTATAATGAAAATAATTCTGCACACTTAAACAAATCCAGTGTTTAACAACATTTGTTTCTTCTACAATTTGATTGCAGCTGAAGTGACAGGTTGACAGCTCTGGGGACTGACAGCCTGTGTTTTGTCATCAGGACCAGTACAGCTTCCCAGCACAGCCGTGCCAGACATGGACCTTCAAGGCCAGGGAATGTCAGTCTCCAAATCTACTCAATCCTGGGGCTCCTTGCTGAGACAGCCAACAAAAATATGCTGATTAATCCCAGTGATGGTTGAAATTATCACTCTAATCTGGCCTACTCTTTAAAAAAACATACTTCCATAAATTATACTGCTGCAAAATATCCTATGATGGTGTCATTAAATGTAACAAGGAGAAGGATACAGACCAGGGGAGGATTTCTTTACCTTGAGCCGGTTATTTCCAAGATATTCCCCATCCATTTTCTTAATTGCTTTACACACACTGGCAATATCACAGTACTGCAGGAATCTGAGGAACGCCGTTCACTTTCTTAATGTCAATATCCTGGGGAAAAAACAAACCAAACCAAACCAAAACAGAACAAAACAGAACAATCCAGAGTCAGTGACAGGCCGAAAAGGACATTCAACAGGGTCAGTTAGATCTAAATGGACTTTTGTTTGAGAGGGATACATGGCACAACAAGTGCTGTTTAATTAGTGTTTTCTTCAGAGAGCAGATTTAAGCAACAGTAGAGGGTTAAAAACTTCACTGTTGTGTTGTATCTCATTGAATGGCAAAAGCAAATCCTTACAGATGCAGGGAAAGCTCTTCATAAAGCAGATTTAAAATTCAACCTCGCAGAAGTAAGCCTGACCCGATCAACAAACAGTAGCTTTAGTTTGTTAATATTCTGTCAAGAAGAGACAATTCAGAATCAAAGAAATACAGATTAATTTTCACTTGCAGAGGCTCAAAAGAAAACAACCTGCTCTGATCTTCATTTCTCAGCCAAGAGGGGGTTTTTTTTTCCCCAATTAAATATGACCCTCCTAGAAGCAGAAAGTGATGCTGGACTCGTCTCTGGAACCATCTTGGCACTGATATGGCAAAGGTCAAAAAAAACCCCTCATCTTCTGGCACTGCTGGTATTTGATCCCAAGGAATCAAAGACTCATTCAAAAAGTAAATGCAGTCACCAAAAAAAAATTTAAAAAAGCTACAAAACCCTAATAAAGGCCGATTTTAATCAATTTAGAAAACCCAGCAAGCTTGGAGTTGACATTTGGTATCTGGTTAACATTCCAGCTCAGCACTCGTACTGGCAAATGTATGGAAAGCCTCTGAACAACTCATGATATGATGATTCATTCCGAGCTGAAAATAGAAGGTGGAGTGTTTTGTTGTATTTGTTTAAATAGCACAAGTTTCCTTTGTGAGCTACGTGCCAATGCCAGCACTCAAATCTAAGCACAAATGTTCCAACATCCAAGACAGGCTAATTTCATGGTTAATACATTTAGGGACAAGGTAGAAGTTTGATATGGTCTCACCCAAGAGCTTTTTATCTGGGAAAAAGAGAAGTAAACAGGGAGATTTACACAACTATTAAACTTCTATAGCCCTGGCCTAGTGATTGAAGTGGAACACTAACAGAGGACCACGCTGCCAAGAGTCTGAAGTAGCACTATTGCAACCGTGGCAAATTATACCTGACCACTCATCTTGGGCCACAGCAATTCCTTCTGACAAGCAAATAAAGTATCATGATTTTGCTCATTATCCACCAGAAAGGTTATAAAACTGGTCCCTTTTGCACCTGAGCTTGTAAGTTTTCGTGGAAATTGCGCAAGGCAGCACTGTTGGGCAGTTCTGCCCGATTAATAACGTTGGCAGGACGGCAGTATTTCACAGAAAAGCCAATTTATAAGACAGTGAACTACTACTGATAAACATCTTTATCAGGACAGCTCTGCTGGTAGAACATCAGAAAAGGGTTTAAGCCACAGACACCGTGTGAATTCATAAATCAGAGTTGATGTCAAGGACACAGCAGAGGCTGGATGCACAAGAGCTGCCAGACATGGTGAAATGTAAATTTTCTATCTGTCCACATCCTATATGGAAGCACACCTCCTCCTCCTCCTTCTGGGGGGAAGTACCTATGGGGTTCCTGGGATGCATGACTGATACCTCAACGGTTATAAAGATATTTCAGAGCAGAATAAATAAGGTACAAGATGTTCCTCAGCAGCCACAGCTACCAAAAGGATATTGTCAAGTGATCATATAAAATAAACCAGCAGTGCTGAAGTCCAGGTTGTATTAATTAAACTGACTGTGGATAGTTACTCTGCTTTTCTGGAAAATTTCTCTTAAATTCAGTATTAATAGGAGGAGAGAAGAGAGAGAGGAGAGAGAGGAGAGAGAGGAGAGAGAGGAGAGAGAGGAGAGAGAGGAGAGAGAGGAGAGAGAGGAGAGAGAGGAGAGAGAGGAGAGAGAGGAGAGAGAGGAGAGAGAGGAGAGAGAGGAGAGAGAGGAGAGAGAGGAGAGAGAGGAGAGAGAGGAGAGAGAGGAGAGAGAGGAGAGAGAGGAGAGAGAGGAGAGAGAGGAGAGAGGGATGACTGCTGCTCTATCTCATTCAGATGCACCTGCACAGCTGAAAACCCAAATCCCACGTGTGCCACCACTAATCCAGCTGCTCCTCACCTCTGCAGTCAGGGCACAGACTGGGAGAGCTGATGGCTACTTCCACATGCAGCAATTAAACTTTTTGTTTTAGAAATCAAGAGGAAACTGAGAATTCACAGACTTGTACTGATTCAATGTGAAAATAACACCAAGTGTGTTTACACCCCAAATACTGAGACAGGCTTTTCTGCAAACACACTGAGATAGCAGAAGACCCATTTCTGGTCAATGTTCCTTGGGTTGTTTCTACTGCTAAGTTACCCCCTCAATATATGTGAGCCAAGATTTCACTCTAAATGCAAAGAAAACCTTTCAGGTATAATCCAGCAAGATGAATGACTCAGATTATTATATAAATCCTGAATTATCTGTCATCAACACCAGGATTTACCCACTGCTGGTAGCATTTCACAGGTCTGCACAGAAAGAAGGGGCAGTGACACCCTGTAGAGCAGGGGGAATTCACGTACCACTATTCCACCAAAGCGCTGAAAGATGTTGCGAAGGTCGTGGTAGGTGGTTGTCTTCTCCAGGTTGCCAATGAAGAGAGTTCTTGTTGCTTTGGGGTGAAACTCATCTATCCGTTCATCCAAAGGACGAAATTCATTCTCACTTTCTGTTTCTAGAAGTAAAAAGAGAAGAGGAAATCTGTAACACCCAGAGGTGTTTTTCATGTGGGTTCAGTTCATGGTGATTTGTTTGTTCAAGGCTATTTCCTGACGGGGAGATACGATCTGAATGAGAGTAACCAACGTCTTTGACAAAGATACTCAGCACTGCACTCGTGGATTGTTATTTATTGTGCAGTTTGAAATCTGTGTCACGTCACTGGGTGAGTGCTGAGGAATCTGAGCATCCTCAGGTGAAAGGCAGCTGCGTTCTCCAACTGCTTCTCTAGAAATTTACTCTTTTAATGCTTGAATTCAAATAAGGCTTCGTTGTACTTGGGGAACAGCACATGGAAGAAGATTGTTTTCACAAATCAATTTTTAAACAAGCAGTCGAAGTACAGACTGAAAACTGAACCATCTGCTCAAGGCTAGCACTGGTTGGTCACAGAATCATAGAATCACAGGCTGGTTTGGGTTGGAAGGGACCTTAAAGATCATCCAGTTCCACCCCCCCTGCCAGCAGCAGGGACACCTTCCACTAGACCAGGTTGCTCAAAGCCTCATCCACCCTGGCCTTCAACACTTCCAGGGAGGAGCAGCCACAGCTTCTCTGGCCAACCTGGGACACTGTCTCACCACCCTCACAGTGAAGAACTTCTTCCTAATATCTCATCTAAACCTTCCCTCTTTCAGTTTAAACCCATTTCCCCTTGTTTTGTCATTAACTGCCCTTATGAAAAGTCCTTCCCCAGCTTTCTTGTAGCCCCTTCAGGTACTGGGAGGCCACTAGAAGGTCTCCCCGGAGCCTTCTCTTCTCCAGGCTGAACAGCCCCAACTCTCTCAGCCTGTCCTCACAGCAGAGCTGCTCCAGCCCTCGCATCATCCTGGTGGCCTCCTCTGGACTCGTTCTAACAGGTCCATGTCCCTCTTGTGTTGGGGGCTCCAGAACTGGACGCAGTACTCAAGGTGGGGCCTTACAAGAGTGGAGTACAGGGGCAGAATCACCTCCCTCGACCTGCTGCCCACGTTTCTCTTGATGCTTGGTCATTCGGGCGATGCTGCCTGAGCCTCAAAACTGCAGCCATCGTTAGCTGTTTTAATTAAAAGCAGACAAACCAAGCCTGTGAGGACTCAGCACTATGCTTACACCACCCACTGGCTTCTGCTCCGCTGAGACATGGAAGATGAGATTGATTCTACCAGCAGCCAGCAAATCCCACTGCTTGAGAGGATGGCAGGTTTCTGTCTCTGAGGTTTAAGACTGGAACTCCCTCTATTTGACTTAAGAGCACCTACTCTTCTTGCTCTGGAATTTATTCTGGTATATTTCCCAGTTTCTTTAAATTATGTTTCTGCAGAAAAGCAGTTTTAACATTTCTTACTCCTCTGCTGCCTCTTTCCAACAGCCTGTGAATTATGCCCAGAGCGGCCACACATCCAGTGCAAGAAGAGCATAGACCTTACCTGGTCCTATCCAGGCTGTGACTTCAATCTGCATGCCAAAGAAAAGTTTTCCTTTCGAGGCATTTAGTGCTTTTTCCTGGTCCTCCTGCTGTCGGAAGAACACCAGTCCATACCGTTCCTCAGAAGCCCCGTGGATCTGCACCGACGTCACCTTCCCGTACTTCTTAAATTCGTGGAAAAGTCCATCTTTAAGGCTTGTATCTAAACCAACAAATTAACATTAGTACAATAAAAACATATATATATTTTTTTTACCAATTTAATAACACCATAAAAGACATAAAGAAACCTGATTTTCCTTCTGAAATGTGACTTCACCCCATTTAACCTGAATCTGAGTGTGGACAAAAGTGCCTTTTTGATCTGGGATGTTAATTTTGCCAATGAGAAAAGCTTCTGGTTGATCCTTCGATTTGCCTTGATTTTTAAACCCAAGAAACTACACACGCAGGATTTTACATCGCTAAAGCTGGCAGAGTATAATTATTACTGCTAAGAGACACCTAATTCAAGATGAAGAAGAAATAAACAGTGTTACTTCATTAATAACCCCACACAGACACTGCGTAGAGCAGTTTTCCAAAGCTGGGATGAGGCACCTGGAACGCAGATCAAAGTTACACACCATTCAGTTCAGTCAATTCAAAAAGATTCAGCAGATTTTGCAAAATCTGACTCACAACCACATAATCTGCTGGGGATCTGTGGGGTATTTACCTCAGCATCACGTCACTTCAAGGAATAGTACAGAAATAAAATCTATAGAAATAATAATATTAACATTGTGAGGTATGTTGCTCACCAAGTTATTTTTTAATTCATATTAAAGAATTCAAAACTTAATTCAAAATAGTTTTTAATTAATAAAATAATTTTTAATTATTCTTTTAATTCAGCCAGTGCCTTTGTATCCATGATTTATGTTACAACTGTTTTACAAATCATCCCGTCCTCATTTTTCTGTGGGATGGATCTCTCCTGGATTGAGCAAAGGGAACAGAGAGTGATCACCTGCACTCCTCAGTGACTGCTTTCTTGCATTATTTACCACACTATTCAACACCGTGACGAATACACTCCTGGGTGTTTTACAGCATTCAACATTACAAAAGAAAACCCTGAATTTTTTTATATTAAAAAACAGGGTGAGAATAAATACTCCAAGTTTTAAGTGAAAAATTTAGAGTCGCTTCCATTTTTTTCCCCAAGGAAATCCAACGTGACTGTTTCCAGGCACTAGTTCCAGTAGCTCTAAGTGCTCAAGCCCAGGGACTCCAGCGAGGGACCTGCAGGATTTCTCACAGATGGTCACTAATTAAGCAATTTTCCCACCGTCACAGAAGAACCGAGGCAGAAGCAGAGAGAGAATCTCATCCTGGGAGACAGCACGTGGCTGCCGTGTCAAAGACCTGACAAAGGTTATTTAACCAGTCTCTAACCTGCTTCTTATTCCTTTTTTTTAGTTGTTTTTTTTTCCCCTTGTTTTGCTTTTCCCAAGTGAATTTACCTGTTGAGCGCACTGGAAGATTTTGAACCTTGATCCCAAAACTTTTCCTGGGTTCATCTTTCTCCAGAGATGGAAGCAGCTGGGACGCGGGCGCTGGGACGGCTGTCGACTGAACTGACCGTGCCGGGGACTCGTCGCTCGAGCTGCTGCTGGAGTCACTGCTAGAAATGACATGAAGGTAAGGAGATGAGTGCAAAGTGATCACAGGACACGAGGATTTTAATTAAATAGCAAACCCAGAGGTTTTTCTTCATCTATAGACCTTCCTCTCTCCTTTGCCTGATGCAGAAAATCCTGTTTCCGTAACACAGTTCAGTTTTACACAGGAATTTAGTGTCATTCTACAAATATTCTCCTACAAAGACCTCAGAGGAGACAGGCAGGGAAAAGAGTACGGGTAAAATGTCAGCTAGATCCTGTTACGCACTGTGACAACGGCAGAGGTTTAATTAAGTGTAATACAACGTTCCATCGGCTTAGGAGCTGCGTGGGAAGACTGGAGAAATACAGAGAAGGGCACACAGGTCTGCTGGAGCCTGAAAATCCCTCCCATGTACCCACAAAAGAAATATTCTCATGCTCTCAGGTGGTGCTGTCAATCCCAGAGTCACCCTGGAATTTTCCTTATTGCCTCTTGTGTTATCTTTAAAAAAAAGGATCCTCCCTCTGATGATATGAAAATCTCGTGGGAGAAAATCAGGGTGACAACTGCTCGGGAATAACCTGGGTGGACAGTGGATGAACCAGCAAACACTATTTACAGGCTCAGCCTCAACAGGCAACTTCAGGGTATAAAGAATTCAGCCCCAAGAATGTCTTTTATAAACAATAATTACAGCAGAAGAGGATTTGCATATTAGATGATAGAGGGGAGTCAATCTAGTCCATCGACTCTCGACGGTGCAGATCGTTAGAGGCTTCGCAAGGAGACTGAGAAATACAGAGAATAATGTTATTAAAGCTTGCCCAGTGGGGACACGTCATCTTCTTCAGTGGCTGATTCCTTCCCCGAGGCACCAGGGCTTAGAACATGGCTAAAAATAATTTTGTCTGACATAACCCTGGAGACTCTCATTCTCCATTACACCAAGCAGCCTGCTAAAAAAATTCTGCTGAATTTTAACTCGGGAGGCTGGAGGGGGGAGATCTGCCACGTACAAAAATAACTCCCATCGGTTTTAAAGCTGCTGCTTTCGATTCATTTTTTTTCCTGTTCCTCTCCATATTGCCTCAGAAATGATAAATGAGTTTATCTTTTTTGTATCTTAAATTATTTCACAGGCTTCTTCTAGTCCTTCTTTACATTAAATTGTTTAATTTTTCCCAGTCTTTTCTCAGGGAAACCATGTCAGGCTTCTAATGGTGATTTGATTTTGTGACCTCTTTTACCACACTCCTTTTTTGCAAGTGTACTGTTTCTATAATGCCAGGGTAGCAGCAAGAGAGTAATTTTTCTTAAAACATGCCAGAAAACTCTTGTGGTTTTTTTTTTCCTGAACCTCTTGGTGTAACAAAGAGCTAAAAACACATTTCTCCAAGTCCCCAGGCTCTGTCCCCTTTATATTTGGAGGCGCAGAAGAGTGGGCAATCTCTGTCCCAAAATACTTACAATCAAAGGAGGATATAAAAAACACAACCAGACCAAACCAAACCAAACCAAACCAAACCAAACCAAAACAAAAAGGTCAAAAATGCAGAAGTCATAATAAACATGAGAAACTCTCCTCCCAGTCTCACCCTCTCATTACAACCCTCCCGACCAGTCGCCATCGAGCCGCTTCACGTTGGGTGTCTTTCCCACACACTCTCCTCCTACTCCTCCGTCCGTGGAGGAGGAAGTTCAGTGTCACTTTGGGAGAGGAGAGAAAATAAAGCCATGCCAGAAAGGGAGAGAAAACCAGAGCCCTTCCTCCTGCCCTGCTCTGCTGAGACGGGCTCTGCCAAGGGGCAGCCACACCGAACCACCCAACCTCTTATTTCATATAAAATAACATTTCCCTTTCCCATCTGGTGAATTTCCTACACCCAGACACCCATTCACAACCTCATTTTTCTCCTGAATTCATAAACTGTCTCTCTTTTAACCACACCTGCATTTGTACAACCTGTTTTCGTGCCCTCTTCATTAATAAACTATTTAATTGCTGAAAGCGAAGCACGCTGCAATCCACTCTTCATCTTTTGCCCATTTATCCCATTCCTCCTGCTTCCTGCTCTTCTAACTCTGGCAGTGCTGGATCCACCTCAAATCCTCCTTAAATTCCAAATTCTTCTCTAGAGAATTTTGGGAAAAGAAGGATAAATTCAGCCCCACATGACCAGGCCTTCAGTAGTCTCAAGGGGTAACATCAGCAATCGCCTACTATGATGAAATAAACTGGCAAAGAATAAAGAAACTTCTTTTAATCCACAAATATAGTCAGAAAATGTGTGTGGAGAGAAGCTGAAAATAATTCCCAAGCTGACAGCAGAACCACGTGGTTCCCCAGTCCCCAGGGAAGGCTAAAATAAGATTTTAGGGCTGTAACAAACCTCTGCCCCGTACACATTTTTATTTTCCCTTCTCACATCTTGATACTCAATATTATGATCAACTACGTGCTTCCTACAGCATCATAAATATTCTGCTTTGCTAAAATTGTAGCTTTTAAATAAGAGGCAGTGTTGAATTTCTATTTAAGGAGTGCTTTAAAATGGGAACAGGCTATTTTTAGCTTTTTTTTTTTTTTAATGAGGATGTTTAAAATATGGAATTGACTTAAAATCAGAGTATTCCACTGGGAAAAAGGAGATAATCCCTGGGTAACACTGTAAGACTTCCAAGAGATGAACCAGCAGCTTAACAGGTTGATAAATTCTACAATAAGAGTTTGAATGTCACACAACTTTGGGGAAACAAGGATAATATCAATAATTTCCACTTCTCCAGGGTGTTTCAGGGATACGTGACCCTCAGCAAATCAAAGATTTTTTTTTTTTTGAGATGTTTCCAGGAAAAAAATTAAAAATAAAAATAATTTCCTGACTCTGTTTTTAGAAATGAGAAAAAAAAATTGGTAGTAAGAACAATTCCCCTTTCTTTAGGGAAAGCCTCATCACTTTTCCAACTGAATAAATGTGGAGATAATAATTCAAAAGTAAGTCAAAGGTTTTCTGTTTTATGAATAGGAGAATGATGGAAGAGTTAATTATAGCTGCTGTGTCATGCAGTTATAGCACAGTGCAGAATCAAAATAAAGCATCTGACAGTGAATTCTGTGGAGTCTTCAAGCAGAAAAAAAACCCAGAACTCCTTTTCAACCACCCCAGAGTTAAAAATATACAAAATATACAAAATATACCAAACTAAAGCGTGGAAGCTGCACGAGGGTATGTTCCCAGAACATGAAAATGAGAATATGGCTTTTCTTTTACCCTGGGAGTAATTTTGAAAACAAGAGTCCTTTGCCAATTTGCACAAAGTTATTAAAAATTCTTCTTGCAAAATTAATTTTAGGAAAAAAAACAAGCTAGGGAAATTTTCACCTGGGAATAGAAGAGATATTAAATCAACAGCTCTGATATCCTGCTTCTGGAAAGTGTTTCAAGTCATCAATAGGTTTTAGGGCAGGTCAAAAATAGTGTAAAGAAAATGACTTTATAACTTCATTTTGAGTTTCCTCTAAAGAGTTTTAATACCCAGGATGATTTTTTTCCAGCAGCAGAGCCGTGCTCTGGCACAAAGCCTTTTCCCAACACGGGAAAACCTGCTCTTCAACATCCATGTAAACTCAGCGGAGCAGAATGCCAGCACGCAGAAAAACTCATCTCCTGAGCTGTCACAACACAGAGAGGCAGCCTGTGCTGGGAACTGGCTTTTTTAAACATCTCAGCTTTACAGCTTCACTTGCCTCTTGGGTGATTTGCAGGTTGGTTTTTTTTTTTCTTTTATGAAGAAGTAGAAGTTTTTTTTTAACCAGGATGGGTTTCAGATGTTCTTTTGTCCAGCTCAGATAGCTTTAAAAATCAGTTTCACTTCATTGTGGCATCACAGCAATGTAGAATAGAGATTTTTTTTAAAATTTTATTTTAATTGTTGGCAAAATCAGATGGAAAACTTGAGCTATAAATGAGATTGTTCTTCCTTTAATAAGAAGGTGGACACGCAATCCTTCTCCTACACGTGCACTTTACTACAAGCATAGTTTACAAGCCCTTTTAAAATATTTATCTGCCTTCTATAATTGCCCACAGCGTTTTACAAGTCTATAGGATGCGTGTGTTCTTACTCACAGCATTAATCTATGTATCTGTTTTCTATTAATCAAGATAAAATCTCTTCATAATCCAGTCTACGTTTTATCCGTATGGGCTGAGTCTCAAAGACTCAACATTTAAGAATCTAGCAATGGGGGTTGAGATCACAAAAATAAGCCTCAAATATATCCCTGGTTTCAGTATACTGCAGCTGATTTAGCACAGAGAATTTTCCTTTTCTCCCTTATAACTGCAAAAAAAATGACATTTTCAATCCTGGTGTGCAAATTCTATACAACCAGCCCTCATTTCCACAGGACTGTCGTGTTTCCAAGTAATTGCATTTTGCACCTCTGGTAACTGAGTATGAACCAGTCCATTTATGTATGAAAAATGAAAGCACTTGAGTGAAGAATACAAAGTGAGCTGTTCTCTTTGTTCCCCAGCAAAAAAAGAGATAAAAGAGAGACTCCAAACCAGTCGGTGTAAGAGGAAACCCGCTGCTCGGCGTCAGCGCTGCGCTGAATCCAGGGATCTCACAACCTGGCCCTACCCCTTTTGCAATGTTAAAATGTGGGACAATTGTCCTTCCTGAGCATTGATTTGAGAAGGGTGAGTCAGCTGCGAGGCTGGCGAGTGCCCTCGTGACGGCGAGCAGAAAACACCGCGGCCTTGGTGGGAAAGAAAGCAGAGAGAATTATTAACACGCGCTGCGGGGCGATACGCTGCCAAATTTCAGCTTGCTTTTTTTTTTAAAAAAAGCAAAACAAAACCAATCTCTGATTGTCAAAACCTAAAATCAGTTGAAACTTTTCATTTTTCAAGG